AACATATATATATATATATATATATATATATATATTATTTTTATTATTTTTAATTTAAAAATATTATTTATCATTATCATTATACAATTTCATTGTTAGCGTAAATAAGAAAAATAAATTTTTTGCAGAAGAAAAATTTAATTTCATGAATGCAAAAATAATTGCGGCAGGAAATGATACATTAGCGATGGAAATAAAACGATTGATCATTGACACCGATTTAAAAACAATGCGAAAGAGAATGACCAGGACATAATTAAATTTCAAATATGAGCTCGAGTAACATATATTTTAGTTATATATTGAATAAAAGTATTATATATCTTCGTTACAGATTTATTTAACAATCGATTCTTTCTTCTCTTCTCAAACGGAGAACGATAATATTAAGTTCTTTTAAATGAAAGAAAATGAAATAAAAAAAATAGAAATGATTTATACAAATTTTATTACAAATGAATACAAAGAAAATCTTCAGAAAATTTATTTTATTCATAAATTAATAACTTATTAAAATATTTTGTAAATGATACATTTATTATTTAAATAAGATTATAATAATATAATTTAAATAAGAATTAATGAAAAATAATATTAATTTTTCAATCGAAAATATTAAGAGACAAATGTAAATAAAGTAATTTGTAAAGCTTACAGAAATTGCAAACAAAAAAACTATGAAAAGTCTAAATTAAGAAAAGATTTAAGAATAATTCTATGATGTGGAACAAAGTAATTTGACTAATTCAAAATGAAAGAAGAAAAAGAATTTAAAAAATAAGGTTTAAATGATAATTGTTATTAAAAATATGGATGTCCTGTGAATATATATATATATATATAGACATTCTTCAATCTTGGGACGTTGCAGCAGCACTGTTAATTGTAAAGGAATAAAATCAAATATTTTACGAATATTACAATAAAAAAAAATGTAAAATAAAATTTCGCTGCTACATATATGAAAGAATAAAAAAAAAATGATATAATGTGTATAAGAAGTGAGTGATCGTTATAGAATGTATAAAAAAATGAAATATTGCAAGCATGCGAAAGAAAGAAAAAGAAATGAGAGCTTGTGGATTAGATGTATGTGTGATGCAAGAGATAGGAGAGGCGTTGTCGATTGTTTTAACAATTTTTTAAATAGTAAAAACGATAGATGAAGATAAACGAATCTATTGCAGAATAGCATTCTATTTTATAATTATTTATATATTATTCTTTATTTAAATATATCTTGTTTTATTTATAAAATTATAATTACAATTGATAATCTATTTTGCATATACTATATTTTAAATATATTTAAAATATATTATTTATGTTTATTTCTATTAAAATATTTCGTAAATGATATACTTTTATAATATATAATATTATATATCTATATTTTACTACAATGAATATAATTTTAAAATTAATTACTTTATTATAGTAAAACTCATTATAATAAAAAATATAGATTCTAAGAGAATTATAACGATAAAAAATGGAATGATTAATTAGATATATTATATGATAATAAAATCCGCAAAAAAAAGGTATAGAAAAAAACACTATAGATTAAGTTAAGCCTTTGTATATGATTCACATGTATGGATGTAAGTAAATATCCTGTTCGGAATAGGACATTATATAAGTATACAGTTGTTAGATTCTTAGAGAAACGCGAAAAAATAATTCAAGGTTGATCGAAGAAGTGTGATCACTGTGCTTTATAGATATCTCAAATTGGTAAAATTTTACAATCGAATGAACATTGAAAATAAAAAATTGAATAATGATATTTGAATATTATATATCTCTCTATTATCAACGAACAACGATCGTATTTTTATTAATTTATTTATAATCATTAAAAAAATTGATTAAATATATAATTATTTAACAAAATAATCAATATTATACAATTACATAATTGAAAATAAAATTCAAAATATTATACAATTTTTATTAATGCCTATAAAAAGTTTATTATATTTAATGTAAAAGTTTATTCTAAAATATAAAAGTTTATTCTATTTAATATATATCATAATATTCTTTTTCATAATTTAATTGTTTAATTTTAAATATATTTATATAATTCATAATATCATATAATTATATATAAAGTCATAATGCAAAAAATATATAAAAATCTAATATTTTGTCAAATATTTTTCGAATATGTAATAATATAATATATATATTTCATAAGCAATTAATGATCAATAATATATTAATGATAATATATAAATAATTTATTAAATAAATTATTTATATATTTCCATAAATGAAAATTAAACATTTAAAATATCTATGATGTGTAAAATACATAAATAATAACATGTTTCAAGTTATCCGTTAAAGTTGATCGGAACAGTGTGAAAGTATAATCGAATCAGAATTACCTTGGCACAATCTTTCATACCGTATATTTTATACTTTTATATGTCTCGTTTGTTTGTATCGTGTTGCAGTAAAATCATCTGGCAAATTAAAAATATAAAATTATATACCGATAACAATCTCTATTCTATCATAACGATCTCATTGTACGAAACGATATCTGAAAACATGATATTATCATGACTAACAAATTTGTGTGTATATCTTTATAATAAAGATTCTAATAAAATAAAGAAATTATAACGTTTCACGATCTTCATACATATATGATGAATCACAAAATAAAATTTTTAATATAAAAATATCAAAATAAAAATGATTTTATAAATAAAATTCTATTATGAATATTATGTCATATTAGATTTTTTTTTTAAATATTTCATATTTTACAATTATATATTATCTATATTATACAATTATATTATAATAATTTATAACAATAGAAACACACCAGTTATAAGAATAACACTAAATAAATATTTTTAAATTAAAATATTTTGTTAAATTTTTCTAGACTCGATAAAATATAATTTATAATAAAATTATTAGAATTTAAATTATAATTACTACTATAAAACAATTCGTATAATTATGCAGATATTATTATTATTATTATGATATACTACATAATTTCCATCAATTATATATACATATATCAATTTTAGAAATATATATATGTAACATATGAAAATATTGAAATTACATTTTAATTTACAAAAATTTATAACAATCTACTTATTTGTATATTGCATGCAATATAATTATGATTATGGGAAAGTAATTATGGGAAAGAAAAAAGAAAGAAAAAAATATTAACGAGTCAAATAATGATATTATTTTAAGATTTTATTTTTGCACCAATTGTTTCAAACACTTAAGAAGTTATCTTAATTTCTATGCAAATATCTATTTGCTAAATTAATTGTACATTAAAGCATCTAATATATGTGTAATATGTATAATACATATGTAAACATTATTATCTCGGAGTGTTCTTTGAAAAAATCTATCTATTTATCTTTGTATGTCGACAATATAGAAATATATGATTCAAAATCATAGTGAATACAGTGAATACGTACAATTTGGTGGAGAACGAATCGATAGATTTAATCATCTTTGAATTGTTTCTTTTTACTTCACGTTCCAAGTCGATATGAATAAAAAGTAGGCGGTACTGTTGCACTCGACGCAGTACCTCTTGATACGTTTTCACGTCAAGAATCTCGTATTTACAATTGGGAAGGAAATCTGAACAAGAGATGGCATTCTACGCGGAAGATTTTTACTACGAATTTGCAATCAAATTGACTCATGATGCTGCTCACGTAAGCACACACACACACATACATACACACACATATATATATATGTACATATATATACATATATTGTAAGAAATAAAATATCATCCATCCTTGAGTGATAAGTGAATATAAAACACTGGAATATTATCGATTAATCTTCAAATTTTCTTAATGTAATATAAATGATCATATAATAATAGGGTGAATTAGATTTAAGCTAATTTTATTTCAATTTATATTATATATTTTAGGATATTTAATTATAATTTGTGTATTCTGTATTTTATAATATAAAGGATGACATTATTTAACTTATCTTTAATTTGATTTATCGATATAAATTTAAATAGAAGTATCGTAGAATTGAATACAAATTATATTTTTTATATTTGATATATATATATGTTACACGTATATGACTTCTTAATTATTTTGAATATTAATAACAATATTTTTAAAAGTAATAAAACCGATATACGATATGATGCAAAATTTTAATCATTCGATCTATGAAAAATGGAAAATAGGAAAGACAGAATATTTACAGAGAATTATTACGAATTGATATTATGTCCCATATTAAAGATCTTTCAAGTTTTATAAGTAAAACTGTTTTCCAGATATTTAATTTTTTTAGAAATAAAAATAAATAAAATGTATTTTTAGAATTCGAATTTTTTGTCAACAAAATTAAGTGAATTAAATTTCAAATAAAAAATAACAATTAACAATTTTAAGATCTTTAATAGAGGCAAATACTTTAAAATTAGTAATTATTAAAAACAAAAATGTGAAAAACTTAAAATTTATTTTATCTCAAGACTAATATTTAATGTAAATATTTTTTATCTTGATAAGAAATAAAGTTAATAGTTTTATCGTAACTTTATCATTTTATCATTTTTTAACGAGCGTTTTACATAATATGATTTTTTTTTATATTATTTACATTCAAATTTTTTACACAATAGTTTTACATAATAGTTTTACATAACACATGACAAATATTATTAATTATGTACACGTATTATTAACCATCCAAAAATCATATATTAATACAATAAGTATTAAAAGTATTGTTGTCGAGCAAAATATGAGTCTCGGGATTTTATTAAACAATCTTCAAAAAAGATGTCGATATTCTATAAATATAATCAAGAATTTCAATTTCAATTTCAATTTCAATCAATCTCGTATGCACATCGGTATCATTTTACCTTTGATTTAAATAATTCGTCAAACAAAAATCACATAGATATAACTTTAAATATTTTGAAATATTCTTTAAAAGAAATTATTGATTATTTATTTTAAGATTCTGAGTGTTTTTACAATATTATTACAAAAAGAAAAAGAACGTGATATTTAAATAATTAATAATTGATAATCTATTTCCTCTCTCTCTTTAGAAACTAAATGTATTTTGAGATACATAAGAATAATATTTATTTGATTCTTTCTTCAATATTTGTATCTCGATAGTTTCAAATATATTTAGTATATTTTAAGTTTTTTTTTAATCAAATATAAGTAATGAATTTTTATAATTTTTTTTTTAAAGATACTCAA